TTATCTTAAAAGCACGGAGGCAACTTTATCTGTGTCAACTGGTCCACCTTCCACGTTCACCTTATTAGCTTAAATCACAAGCACTCCGCCAAGCTTAATCATCAGTAATATTATAGGCAAGGTGCACCATATTATGTAGTTCCTCATTTAAATTATGGAACACAATTACATATACAATATATATATATATGTATGTAATTACAAAATAAATCTAATTTTACAATAATAAGTCAGTGACTGTCTAGATTTTGACTCTAAAATGAAAATAATGTCATAATTCTAGGGTAGTAAATCAATATGTCAAAAGTCAGGATCAAAGAAAAAACACTAGAAAGAAAAAATAAGGAGGGGAAATCAATTTAAAGCTGGTTAGGGGAGATGAAATGGGATGAAGAGGAGGAGAGAAAGCATAGGATGATGATTAGCAAGGATCCGGGACTGCCCTTGTTATCTGACCGACTGGTACACAGGACGTGGCACAGTTCTTGTTCAGGGTTGTTCTAGACAATGAAAGAATACATGCTGCACTAGCGGACAGGTTTACAGGATCCAAACAAACAACCTGTCCGAGCATCTGTCGTGGTAGATTGTATATTGTAGACAAACGGTCACCAGGTAGGTCACATGGATAAATCTCAGCACATCCACTGAGGCCTGTTGTTTGAGAATGGTAACTACAGAACAATTTACAGAGCTGATGAGGCAGGAGGCAGTGGGCAGATCCCATTATCAGCTCAGCTCTGGGATAAGCTGGGAGAACAGGACGATGACACAGACCCTTGGCCCTTGGCTGGAATATAGCAGCAACATAGTGGCCTCAATCCTAATTGAACATCTGGATAAGACAGGGGACAGGGGGCAGGGGCCAAAGGCAGGAAGAGAGTGAAGCTGAGGGTCTACAAACTGAACCGGGGGTCTCTGATTTTGGGGAAACTTTGCATTATTGCATGATAAATACTATTCATTTTTGGTTGAATTATCTCATATGTAATTATAAAGAGATTGGAAAGAACAACAGGCTGTGATGGTGTAAGGAGAGATTGAAATAAAGGAAGAAAAACAAAGAGAAGATGAAAGAGAAAGCGGCTGCAGAGGGTAACGCTAGTGGATGATCTGTGATGGAAGATAATCCTGATTACCTCTGACATGAAGACATGCAGGAAGGTGCTCTCGCTCAATCACGCGTGGAGCTTGTGCACACGTTAGTGCACACACACACACACACACATACACAGTCTTAAGTACTGTTTATCAGTGGAAAAAGTACTCATCAGCCCTACTTTACTTAAGTTAAAATAGTAATACCACAATGTAGATGTACCCCATTACAAGTACATTTAAAAAGCACAGAACAATGATCAGCAAGTATTTAAGTAAGAAATATGCTAATTTATGTAAAAATGTGCCACTTTGAGTGTTATATTATCATATATAACATATTATTAGTTGGTTAGTGTTTCATCTGGTTTAAGTACTTTACTGTAATTACTGTTTGGTGTTGTAATCTATAAACATGTTTCATATTTTAGCATTTTATAATATGTTTTTCTGCAAAGTAACAACTCCAGCAGTAAATCATTGTAGCAGAGTAAAAACCGGAAAAATATTTATCTATTAACTATATTAAGTTAACATTATAAAGTTCTAGTTTTCAGCATTTTAGAGGCAATGATTCCCTCTTGTGGCCAAAAGTGGAATCAACTCCATGAACTTGACATGAATCACGGCAGATTAAAGGTGTGCGGTTACAAGAACATGAAGCCAAAAACTGCAACAAAGAGGACTTGTGTTGCTTTTACCTGTGAGTTTTATTGTGAAATCATTAATGTACTCTACACAGGCGTGCACAGGCCTTACAGAACATGCCCTGCATGCATCAACATCGTCGTAATAATCTACTGCTGTTGTTACAGAAAACCTCAACAGAAAACAAAATTTACAAAACTACAATTGATAAGTAGAGTAAAAAAAAGGGAAGAAACACATTTTATTAAAAACTTTCCCTCATGCTATTTATAGTAAAAAAAAAAATGCCCCCCAATATTCACAGAAAAAACACACAATGAAACATAAGACAGAATATAGGCACAATGTGAATGCACAAACTAGAGCGAAGGGTAACTACTATAGCATGTGATAGTGGCTTTACACAGACAGACAGAGGCTCAATGGACACATTGAGACGGGACCGTTTTCTGCAGATGTTTCTGCGTGTCAAGCATCTTTTAAACGCTTGAGCTAACTTTCCAGAAGAGTGGAGAAGAAAATGAATACATCTGGGAGCGCTGGAGTGGGGTAAAGCACAGCAATGAAATGTTAAAAAGAGAGAGATAAAAAGAGGGACTGAGAAAAGAAAAACAAAAAGAGTAAGAGTAGAGAGAAAGACAGGAGGGGGAAGGGAGGGAGGAGGTTGCAGAGGAAGTCATCTCCAGCTCATGACAACAAGCAGAGCAAGAAGACATGAAAAGAAGAAGTGGACTTAAAAAGTGTCCCAATCTAGGTCAGGAGGCGCAACGCCAGCGCTGCCCCTCCCCGAAATCCTTCCTCCCTCTTTCCCTCGCTCCTCCTCTTTCAGAGAACACTGGAGAGGAAATGCTGGCCGAGCCCCCCCTTCACCCCTCTGTGCCTCCCCCAGTTTCTTTCTTTCTTTTTTCTTTCTTTCTTTCCCTCGTCATCTAATTCTCTCTCACTTCTCCTCTCTCCTTACTCCCCCACTACCACTTTTATACCATTTTTTAACTCTTTCTCCTTTTTTCACAACCCCCCCTCATGCCTGACACTACTAAATCAGCAGCATGTGGGCTTAATGGAAACCAGACCCTGACCCATTCCTCTCTCGCCTACAGGCTTCTTCCTTGTACACTTAATTAGCTTCGACCCTCTTAAGCTTCAGCATGCAGAAAGAAACAGGGACATAGAAAGACGGATACTGTTGCTATGGTCGAGTTGAGATGGACAGAACTTGTAAAATACCACCACCAATAACACTTCTCTTCACGTTAAATGTGAATAACCCCCCTTGCCCCCTTGTATTTCATCCCAACCCTGGCACCAGTCGTATATCACTATGTATCCGCTGGGATTGTGTTTTTAGTGGTGCAGTCTGAACAGTTATCGTGGCTGTGGTGGGAGGAGGGGAGGCTGGAGCCCGAGTGTCTGTGCGCAAAGAAACTCTGTGCCTTTGTTTGGGTAAGTGGTCTCTATGCCTTAGTGTGTGTATGTGTGTGTGTGTCTGCATATGTGGACATGCATGCACAAATGAGTGCGGTCAGGGGGTTTCTTTTTTTTTCAGAGATCATGTGACGTTGGAGCATGTGTGTGAGAGAGTTTAAGGCATAAGGGGCTCGGTGGGACACGGACACACACAGCTGTCCGACATTCCTGCGCTGGTCGGAGGACGAGCTTATTCTGCTAGAGTCTGTGTGTTTAATAAGCACGGGGGAGCTCTGCTTTGCACGCACGCACGCACATAAACACACACGCAAACACACATCTGCAATGAAGCAACCTCAGCAAAAAACAAAAGACAACAATAAACAGAATCAAAAAGTGCAAATTATCTGCTCTAAACAAAGACAAATGTGAAGGTTGGTTGAAGCACCGTAGTCAAACATAAGGAAGTCTTGCTCATATTAATGCGTGTTTTTGTATATTTGTTTTCATAGCTATAAGCACTCATGTTTGTGTGTATGTACAGTGTGTGTGCTTCTGTATGATGTATGTGCATTATCGACTTTGTCTGCATTTAAACTACAAATAAATCCCCTGTCCCTCCTCTGTACAATTAGAATTGATAGAAACGGACATTCCTAGTGTGTCATGTGGCTCTTTTTTTTCATTGTTGTGATGGATTAAATGTGATTTTAAGGAAGAGAGCTACTTTTTAAAACATTTGGAAGGCACAAAAGGGAGGCACAGAAGGAAAACTTCAAGGCCAGGAGAGGGAAACTGTAGCTCCACAGGCAGCGACTTTACCACTTTTTGCATTATTTCACATGAGCAATAAAAAAGTTATCACAAAATGAATGGGGCTCGAAACGGCGACTCATCCTCGGTTTTCTTAAAACCGGCACTTTGTCGAAGCTTCTTCCAACGACTGTACCAGACAAACGATGAATACCCGTTCTATCTCTTCTAATTCTGTGCCTCACACCCAGTCCTGCAACGAACGTTTGCAGTGCACCAAGGCCCTCGGCGTCTCTTTGTTCTGCAGAGTCCTGAGGATGGCGTAGATTAGGACGAGGATGCACAGGATGAGCACCAGAGGGACGATCAACATGATCAGCGTCATGACCTTTGATTCGTTGTCGGCCACCGTCACGACCATGTTCACCTCCTTGTCCTTCTCTTCGGGCTTGGATGTTTGGTCTTCCTCCGGGTTTGTGCCTTCGTCCCGGCCACTGTCCGGCTCTTTGTGCTCATCTTTGCCTCGGTCCGAAGGGATGACTGGTTTGTCTTTCGGTTCCTGTTCGGTGTCGTCTGCGTCGGGCTTAGGGTCGGGCGCTGCCACGCAGCCCATGAAATCCTTCAGGATGGAGCGAGGGTAGCCTTTGTCTGCTTCTGTCTTGTGGTTGTTAAACCTCCAGTAATTGCTGCCTTTGTAGAAATAGGTGTAAGCTGCATGAGAGGAAGATAAGAGAGATTAGAGACAGCCAGCTCATGTGAAATTCATTATCATGTGAATATAGTGTAGAATATATCTGACCTTGTCACTCCCCACAAGGAAATATCAAGCTTAGCATAAATACTGGAAACAGGTGGTGACAGCTGGCTCTATAAATCTACCTACCAGCATCTCCAAAGCCCACTGGTTAAACAAACACAATGGGTTGTTTAAAGTTTAAAGATAACAATTTGATGTTTTATGGGGCGTTATACAAATTGCCAGGCAAGCAGCGCAACTCCAAAAAATGGCAGGCAAAAAAAAAGTCGCTCGTAAAATCACAATGTGCTGTTTTTACACTTTGGGTTTTCTACAGACTGAACAAACAAGATGCAACATGAGGGGGTGGTAGGTGGATTTTGTCACCTTTGGACCAAATCAGGCTAGCTGTTTCCCCCTGTGTCCAGTCTTTATGCTAAGCTAAGTTAGCGGGCTGCTGGTTATAGCTTCATATTTACCGTACAGACGCAAGAGTGGTATCGATCCTCTCATCTAACTCTGGGCTGTATTTCCTAAACTCTCAAACTATTCCTGTACAGCTTTTGAAGAGGTAGTGTGTTCAGTTAATGTCAGTACCTCAATCATGTTGATCATGATCTTTTTTTTGAAGAATTAATGCAGATCTTTACATTTTAAACCATACCCATACAACAGACAGACTTACTCTACCATTTGTCGTCTTGAAGGTAAATCTGAGTTAAAATATTTTTTTTATGTTTCTTAGGGGAGCAGTTTATCCTCTGCACTCCCCCCAAAAAACCCACATTATGCAACAGATTGAGTTTTGCAGGGAAGGGCTGCAGACTATTCATAAATGTGTTCATATCAAACTACGAGAAACCAATAAAATCAATGAGATGTGTTGCTTACGTGCACTAAGATTTGGCGAAGGGGTGCAAAAACAACCACATGCAATCTTCTAAATTTCTGGGTGTGAGTGCAGCTCTGTAGTGGAAACCAGGCTTGCACAGAGACATTAGAACAATTTGGGTGGAGATGAGATCGGACTATTACTGAGTGCATTTAGAGCAGCTCTGCCACAAATCTAATTTCCAAGGGAAGGACGGGCCAACCCTCAAACCAGAGCTCTCATTCCTCCCTTCTCCCTCTCTCTCTCTCTCTCATCCCCCACCCTTCTCTCTCTGCTCTGCTTGCTCCAGCCTAACCAGTCCCAAATGTAATTTTTTCCCTCTGTTTCTTACACACCCCATTTCACCCCTCTAACCTCTCGTTCTTTCTCCACCTCCACCTCTCCTTACACACGCTGCTCTTCCGCTTTCAACACTATGCACAACTTTTGGTGTCTGTTGGGATTCTCATAAACAGAAGCTGCTCCCTTTCTCCAAATAAAGGCTGTATTTGCTTTATTGAAAGTCCCCCTCTTGCTCAATAATATGTTTTTCTTCTTTTTCCTACAGTTGGATGTTTGAGCTTCACTATGCACAGTGATGTATGTGCAGAGTTTGACACTGGAAGAATGTGTTAGTTAGTTTAGTTCGTCTGGAGGTCCATTCTGGTCCACTATGCATGTAGAAACTATAAGCCTCCAGTGCACATACACTGAAAACTGACTTTACAGTGAAGTAGGACACATACTGTGTCCAGCAGGCAAGCCTTTACATATTCACAGATTTTGGCCCACTTTTTTATGAGGTATAAGGAGCCTTTACAAGGGTTTTAATTTGGAAAAAATATCAGAAACACATTATTGTTTCAAGCAGACTATCTGTATATGTCTTAAAGGACCAGTGCGTAGGATTTAATGGCCTCTAGCAGTGAAGCTGCAGATCGCAACTAACTTAACACTGCTTGTGTCTGTGTCTGATGACCTGGAAATGAGAACGGGCTGTGAAATGGTAGGAGAAACTACTAGGGCTGCCAAACTCACAAAACACCTAAAATGCCCTCTCTACAGCGAGCCACAACTTTGTCTGTTCTGGGCTACTGTAGAAAGATGGAGGTTGAACATGTCGGACACCATGAAAGGCGACCTGCACCGTCTGTAGATAAAAACGGTTCATTCTAAGGTAACAAAAGCATAACGGTTCTTATATTTAGGTGATTATACACATTTCTGCCAATATAGCCTCTTAAATATTGCACACTGGACCTTTAATACATGTCTGGAGGGGATCTTTAAAGTAATTATTTACCGCTGTCATCGCTGAGGAAGGCTCCTTTTGGGGCGTCAGGGATTTTGCCCCATCTGCTGTTTGGCTTGGGGAAGTCACGGTCCGTAGTCCGGGTCTCCTCATTGTATCGCCAGTACCTACACGCAGACAATGGGGTTCATATATTGTCTTTTTAAATGTGTTAAGATCCTGCTGCATGTGTCTGTGATATATTGTACCTGTCTCCAGAGAAGAAGTATGTGTATCCGTTGGGCTCCCACCAGATTGCTGTGTCAATCTTGTGCGCAGGAACTCCTTGTCCATACTCGTGTAAGGGCTGTGGGTATCCTGGCAGCACGTCAGCCTCCCTGAACACCCAGTATCTGTCATCTGCAGGGACAAAAGGATATACATCTTTATAAAGAGATAGTAAGACCAACAGTTCAAGCTTGCTGCAATGTATGTAAGAGACGGAAAGTTAAGGAGGGAGGGAGGGGAGAAAAAGCTGTGGCATATGGAGAGAAAGCGATGGCCAGAACATATGGCATATGTCATTGGGTTTACCCACTGCAGAAGAGAAGTAGAAAGGACAGGCAAGGTAGAAATGGTAGGCTTAACACTTATTTTCCAAGATTTCCTCACGTGGAAGCCAATTTCTTCTCTAACCCTAACCTTTGGGCACACTTTTCAGCCACTTTCCACCTCCACTGCCAGGGCACTGCTGCATTGCGACATATAAGACTGAACTATAATAGCTAAATTTGTGCACTGGGGCTTCTTACTAATCAGTGAACGCTACTTTGAAATGCTGTTTAAACTGTTTGACCTGATGTTTTGTCTACTACAGTAGCTGAATGATTTTGGATTCATGTGGACAACATTTCTGCGGGTTTGGATTGCATATAGTGTATGATCCAAGGACCTTTAGAGTGGAGCAGAATCAACTTTACGCAGCTCGTCTTACACCCGTCACTCTCAGTGATGTGACCGAAAAGCAAGAACAAAAACAGAAACCAATATTAACTTCTATGGACAAGAGAACGTGACCAAAAGCTCAGAAAATGCCGTAAATGCATGACAAATCACCAGACGGCCTGATTGTAAAAGTGAAAGCTCTGCAGCTGTGTAAGAGAGTGCTGCAGAGAGGGCTGATGCAATCCTCAACCTCTCTCATGAGGCCTTTTGGGGCTCAGCTGGAGAATGGAGTCATACTGGGCCAGCAACAGCTGCCACACTGCACAGACCTCATTCAAGACACCCAATGAACTCAGTAACACAGCAATACGCATATGCAAAGCGAAGAAAAAAAATATTCTCAATAGTCTATATCTGAGGCCATATTGTCAGCAAGTGGTAAGAGTTATTCATTTGGCTAAACGGGTTTTGTTTTCGTTACGTAACCTCTAATGTTTTAAATATTTCTCTGTGTGTGTGTGTGTGTGTGTGCCAGATACAGACAGATATAGCTGTGTTGAATTATTATCATATCCTCGTAAATCACACTGTGTGGGGGGAAAAACATGCTGAATTTGCACTGTTTCCTTTCAGTCTGAGCAGTTCAAATCAAAGCACAGATCAGGTTTGTGTTTCACTCCCCATCTTGTGTTTATAGAACACACTGAAACTGCTCCACGCTGGCTTCCACTTTGCTGGGAGGAGAAGTAGCTGAGAAATGTTGCGGAAACCAACCAGACGTTTGTTGTGCCCTTAAGCACGGCGCCTTAACGGTAAACAAAAAAGTTCTGCGTGGTGTTCCAAGGAGTTTTTGACGCAACACATTGCGCAGCCTTCTCAGCATGTGGCCGCTGTGACACGTTTTATTGGTTAAAAACAGCCTTGACATACCTTTAAAGAAGACAAATTTGCCATCGTGGCGCTCGTAGGCTGCGTCGATGTCACTAGGCAGGCCGATCCAGAAGACAGAGATCGGCATGGGGTAGTTATCCAAGACCCGGTTCCTCCGTACACGCCAGAACCAGCGACCCTGCACAAGCAAGCAAAATAATGCTTATTTTTATAACAAAATTATTTATTTTTCATGTCCCCTTGCATGTTTGTTTGACTCTAAGCAGGGCCATGTTAGTTCATAGATCTCCAAATGTAGGTCAGGGGTTATAAAAACACCAGTGACACTTGATCCACAACATGTGGAGAATTAAAGTTTACAGATGTCTGATCCAAAGCCAACCCTTGAATTAAACACAGCATTGCATGAATAGGTTCATTAATTCTCTACTTCTCACCTTGAAAACAAACATCTCGCCCCTCAGCATGGTCACCGTGTCAAAGTCCCCGTCACAGATATCGGGGGCCTGGTTGTCCGGACGCTTGGGAGGTCGTGGAGTAGCAGGGGGCCGAGGGGGAGGCGGAGGAGGGGGGACATCTTTTCTAATGTGAGGGGTGACAGGTTCCGGTTCAGGCTGGGAGCCGGTGGTGGGGACGACAGGAGGCGAAGTGGGGCTGGGGCTCGGCCGGGCTGGGGGACGAGGGCTGTCGCCGGTCGGGTTGGGCGCTTCGGGCAGGGGGTCGGTAGGAGAACTTGAGGTGGGTTTATCTTCAGGGGGAGGTGGAGGAGGGGAGGTGGGGGAGTCATCTTTGGGTTCGTCGTCATGGGCGGGAGGAGAAGTGGGTGGAGCATTAGTGACGAGAGGAGGACCTGAGGAGGTAAAGATGGAGAGATTGGGTTTAGAGAAAGAAAGAGAAAGCTCCAAAGTTAAGTTTGTTTTTCCTCTCGTATTTTCATCTGAAATGAAATAAACTCCTCCAGCCTGTCTGTGTGGCATCAGGCATCAATAACTTCTTACTCCCCTCTCCTATACCTCATAATACGCTCTCTAATTCTCCCTCACACAAAGAAAATGTAATTTTCCATTTTGTGCAGCGGCTATAAGCTCATTTGATTGACTGTGCTGCAGCTCTTTGGAAAAATCAGCCCTGCTGGTTGCTAAGAGGAGAAAACACACAGATACAGCCTGTTATGTAATATGTATGGACAGCTGATGGGCTTAAAGACGTATTGAGTTACACTGAGCCAAAAATATTGCTAGGAATATATGAAGGCTGATGTTGGCCAGTGACTGAGCTATCAGTATGTGGAACATTCAGCATCTGCAGGGTTTTAACCTGCAATATATAGTTTACGGACAGTGGAGATAAACAAAATTTAGTTTGTTTCTAAGGCTGCTTTTTTTCCAGTGTCTTATAACTTAATTATGTAACAGATTGTTAAAACTTTCAGTTCTAAGTTTATTAGGCACATCTCCTTTACTTAGTGTGCTTTACTTTACACTTTACTGTATTTTAGAGCCTTGAAAAGCTCACTAGCTAATGGCCTATTAGTTGGTTATTTGCATCATAGGACAAAAAGTTAATTTTACCAGCTGCCCAGAGTGGAACTGTATCTATAAGGGGAACACCCTTTCAAATATAAGCCCCTGTACGTTGGTCCTTTGTCCTTTTCTTCCCTTTTTGTTAGATGATTCATGCTACACATGATCACACATATGTACAGCAATATTTGTGTATCTAAATATCACGTATTTTAACACTTTGAATTGTTTATATGTCATTTCAAAGCATAGTTTGTAATGTAACAGACCAACTTTTACAGCAAGATACAGAGTAAGCACTGAATGCCTCAGCAATGGGAAGGAATCCAGCCTGCTAATTGTTACTGTTAAGACTAAATACTTAAGTGATAGCTCAACAGATGAGTAGCCGATGAGGAAAGACTGTAGTGGGAGCCAGAAAACTGCCGGTCTAATGGATAAAAACCTCTACAAAGAAGCCAAATGTTTATCTCTACCAACAAACTTCTCTCAAACCTCTGGTAGTCTCCATTTAGATCTGTTTAATGAAGCAAACTACTGTTTAATTCCAGTCAAAACATTTGACTTACACTATTTACAGCTGAAAAACCTACAACATTTTTCACATCTAGTTTGCCTAAACTTTAGTTTATTCTGGTGCAGACGTCTTGTGTAGGCGCATCAATAGGCCAGAATCCCGTGGGTATGGAAAGATTTGGGGTTTGGTGGGAAAACCAGAAACAACATTCCCGAACTGAATCCGACTTTTATCTGTTATGTGTTACCAGAGATGTGACCGGGACAAAACAATGGACAACCAAGAAATGCTTAAAAAAGACGGGAAAACCATGAACCTTATTTTGGTCTAACGTAAAATAACATCATAAATCTGTCATTCGGAGTAAACGAGACAGTAATGAATGACAAACAAGTGTTTTGGCCTCTAAGTACAGCTCTTATTACAGCGCCACAGTAGAAACATATATACATACAGCACACTCTAATATACACATGAGCTAACCAACATGCACACACACAAAGCTGTCATCTGTCAATTAACAATGCCATCCATTCATGCAGCATGACAGCATCATAACGGCATGCGTGATGTGCTGTTTTCAGCGAGCTTCCTCTGGTGTTGTGGTGCGGTTGGCCGTGTGTCTGTGTGTCTGCGCACATACGCACAAAGCCTCTTCACAAGGCTTCTCGTCTTATTGATATATCCTCAAATTACTGCGGACCTTCTGCACAGTGATTTCTGAGCAAAAGCGGTCTGGGTATGAAGCCAAAACAACAAAAACATGGTGGTTTTTGTTTTGCACTCTTTAGTTTAGCAATTTAGATGTAATCAGTGAAGACAAAGATGAGTTATGGACATCAGCTGAATATCATCTGTGCAGAGGAATGGAAATGTTCGAGTAAAATAAGGACATGACTCTTTAACGGTAGTCACAGCCTCAATAATATAATGTGCAGAAGAACAGATTTACTTCGACACACAGCTACACACAGGTGCGTTATTGTCTCAAACCTGTCTTGGATTCTTCTTCTCGTCAAATATTCTAGTTGGTGGTGGATGTTTTTTTTTTCTAAAGTAACTTCCTCCTTCAAAAACCATTGATGAATTAATTCAAAATCCATCCACAGGCATTAACCCGTAACAATGTCCCTTTCAGTCTCTCTAATTTGGACTCGGTCTTGACTTTTTCTTGACTAGTCCTGGTTTTAGACTCAACAAAGGTGGTCTTGAAGCTTAGCTTAAAGTGCTTTGTTAGCATTGCTTAAAGTTAATATGTGTCAAGACTATAATCCATAAAGCTCGCTAAAACATTTCACAAAGATACTTCTTGTTAACACAGATACACGCAGGGAGCTTCACGCAGTAAGTATTTGGAGAGTGCTGTTTCATTGGTGACAGAGAATGTAATCAATATAACATCTTCTCACCGTATATGTACTGTATTCCTTTGATATCATCCTCATGTAGTGTGAAGTTGTGTGTGTGACTCCACTGGTAGAAAGGAGCCATTGTGGCACTGGGGTTATCAGAGTGCTCCAGACCCAAAGCATGACCAAGCTCATGAACCGCGACCAGGAAGAGGTCTACGCCTGCAAGACAAAATATGTAACTTTCATCAAACATTTGTGTGAAATAAAGGAACATCAATGCATTGATACATTGTAACTTGTATTAAAAACACCTTAATTTGAGTAACTGTAAACTGTAACTGTTCTTTTGTTTATAGTATATGCTCGTGTGTATCGATAATCCTTTCAGGCTGCAGCCCAGCTGACCAAGAGAGACAAGACCACACCACCTATCATCCAAATTCCACCACTTGTTTTAGGTCTACCACAGAGTACATCCCATTGTCAGGAAGTCTGACACAGAAATGGCATAAAGAAACTGATACATTTTCAAAATAGAATACCCTGTGCATTTCACGCTACATCAGCATTGCAGCACCAGGCCAGAATTCAATCAGTCAGAAGAGATTTGCCCATTTTGTATCTTTTTTAAGGACAAAATACACAAGTTAACATCATCGGGCAGGCAAGATGCTTCACTTCTAAAACACTCGGTGGGATTTGAAGATGCACAGACCTCAGAACCAAACTGCATCGCAGACTCAATAAAGTCATAAAGCTGAGCACGGTGGAATTTTGACAGTTTAACAGTTAGAGAGTTTATCCTTTCACCAGAAAGTCACAGGTTCAATTCCAGCAAAGAAAAAGTCAACAATCACAAACCTTGTGGGTTTTGGTTGTCCAGTGTCCAAGGCTCATCAGCGTCAAAGTGTGTATCCCCACCTATTCCTGGTCCAGGGTAGTAGGCATGGGCCAGAGACCCACCCTCGCCATCAAACAATGACATATCACCATGGAAACCAGAGGCAAACAACAAGAGGATGTCAGCGAGCTGTGCCTGGCTGCTGTTGATGTTGATGTTGCTTTCAGCAGGTAACTCCTCAAAGGTGAGCGGCGTGACCCGTCTCCACACGTCAAACGCCTTGCGGATGGCGTCGAACGTCCGCTCCACGCCCAGGGAGGAGGGGATGTGCTGGTTCATTATACTGGAGCCAGAACAGAAAGCATATTAGTGTTAGTATTTTAAACATTCTTCTTTACTGTTGTCTTATTTTATTTATTGTTTTCACATATCAGTGCTTTAAACCTGAAAGTGAGGTGGTCTTTGTCCCACTGCTGTCCTGTGAGAGCGTAGCGTTTCTTCCTTGTGCCTTCATCCATTTCCGCGGGTTCCCTGTCTGGGAGTCCACAGCGAGGCCGACGCATGGCCCTACATACAAACACACACACACACACAAACACACACATACATACATTCAGCACATTATAAACTGTTAGCTGCAATAAGTGACTGAATTTCCTTGTTTCTACAATATGTACAAAGACTTAAAGCAAGTACAAACAGCGAAGTGAACTTGCGTGCAGACATGAGAGGGGGCGTCAAACCTCTCATCTACCTCTCGGCAAGAAGGCGTATTTCCCAAACTGTCAAACTATTCCTTTAAGACAGTGTTTCTCAAACTGTATTAGATTCTCCAAGCAGTTAAAATACAGAACCATAGGCCGACTCTGTTCAGCTGCAGACAGTTCACAGAGGGGGCAGATTTATTCCTAATAAGATTATTGATTGTTGACTGCTGTGGAAAAGGGGTCCTCCTGGTCCACACTTCTCTTCTTAATAGTTCCCATTTGGAGCCACGACTGCAGTGTTTTTGAACCATAATCTGACCTCCACTAACTATCTCGCTATCTTATTTTAGCTCATAACTAATCATCGATGTATGCATGCTCTACGTACATGAACATGACTACGTAGCAGGAAATGCAAAACTTATTTTAAATTTCATTTCATCAATAATCTTATAGTTTAGTATTTACACATACCACCAGTGGTAAACGTACCATAGTTTGAGAACCAGTGCTTTAACACATTGTAATGTTTCCATAAAGCTTACAAACAGTGTGAGAACAGAGACCTACTGCAACGAATCAAGGTCACAGTTCAATGTGAGGATATGACACAATACACACAAGACACAATAGCCTGAGTAGCCTCATTAGTCCAGATGTGACATGAGCAAAATGAAACTGTAATTCAACCCCCATTGTCATAAAAAGTTATTACAAGTTGGCACTGTTTCAGCAGCAACTGGTAATATTGTTATGTGGGAAAGGCCGGCGTCCTGAAACAAACGATGCAGGATGCTTAAGTTGAGGTTTGTTGCCCACAATCCTCACATGACTGACTGAAACTGAAATTTGCCATTCCATCTATACCATAGAAAGCATAAAAAAATGAGAAACTTCATTAAAAGAAAAATGTATATAAATCCCAACATGCTTTACAGCATCTCACCACATCCCTGGATTAGGTTTGGGGTCACTGCACACAGATGTGTGCAGTGACCCAGTAGTGTTGCACATTGTTGCACCCTGCAGAATAAAACCACCGCTACAAAACAATAAAGAGCTTACGTGACAGTCGCGGGGTCCATCTCTCCCGTCACCTCTAGGCCATAGAAGCGCTGCATGTCGGCGATGGCTTTGGACAGAATCTGAGCCGACTGCATGGTGGACATCTGTCTGCTCGCCTGAGACAGGTAGCCGAACTTGCGAAGCCATGCCTGTTGAGGAGAAAGTCGGTTTTGCTTAGTCCGGCTTGCTGAACACGTGCGTCTGTTTTTGCCTGTGTGTGTGATGCATGGTGGGTAAACGTGTGTATGAGAGCTACGACTGTTATGCTAATCCAGGAACAATCATGCGAGGAGAGAGCATCTGAGGAGTTAAAAGAAAAGAGAAAGTAGAGATAGAAACCAGATGGCTTCCATTAACATTACGACATTCCTGCTCTCATTCCTGCGCCTTCTCCTCACTGACAGTCGAGAGGAGAGGAAGAACTGGAAACAGGATCACTAAAAGGACAATAATGAAACTGTAATTCACTACTGTAGTACACAAGATGAACAGAAAACTCTGCATGTGTGTGCGTACTTCTAATGATGGTAAGAGACCATCTGGCTGACAGTGTAGTGACACATGCTGAATTTTCCTTCTTTGTTTCATGTTTACTGACAGTGAAATTGAGCGTGTAGAGCCACGTAGCACAGCAAACAGGACAATGGGAAGAAAAATCTCTGTCAGCTCTGCCCTTCAAAAACAACACCGCAGAGATGCCCCCTCCCATCACCACCACCACCACCACCACCACCTCACACAGCCGGATCATGGGACTCATACTTTCATGCATGTAGAGCATGAACACAGGCCAGGGGCAATGCACACAGAATTTCTGCATAGCATGACAAGTCTCAACAAATGTAATGGGAAGGGTGGGCTTATCCACATCGGTGCCTAAAGAACATGATGAACTGAAGAAGCAGAAACCCTCTGATACAGCAGGGCTGATAATCAATATCGTGATATTCTGATATTATTACAGGCAAATATATAAAAGACTTACAACAGAATAATGTTGGCACTGTGTTCCACTGTTATGTGTTGAAACAGTCAAGGCCCTTCCCAAATGTGAATAAAAAACAATAACAAAACATGAAGTTTGGTGATGTTATTAAGTTAGCGCGGGATCATGGGAGTTGTTGTCTCCAGCACCACTGCCGCCACTGCAGTCAGCTCCATCGTTCAGGATGTTTACCGGGAGCTGAATCATCCATAGAGGTCTCGTCCTCTCCAACACAAACAATCCGGGGGATTAAAACCAGTAAAAGCACTTAATGAAGCAGTTCCACCTAAAAATGACTATTTCTCCGATGTTAGTTGGCAGACAAAGGACGGCCTGGAATGCTAACGTTAGCTCAGCTTGTTTCTCTGATAACTTGAGATTCAGACATCCGATGACTAAAATCCTTCATCCAGTTAAAATATAAAGTTATAAACCACCAAGATCTAAAAGGCGTATTGTAAAAATGTGACTTAAAACTGGATAAAAAGTCAATTTATGACTAGGAAGGGGATATGATGCCATTGACAGGCGACCGGTGACACGCAGCGTTACCTGAATAAAATGACAGATTTCTCTGAGTTTGAACATTGTTGGAAACATTTGGGATAATGGAAGAACTCAACTACATACAGAACATAGAGCCAGAGCTTATACACTGTT